TTATATTGGAACCGATTAACCTCTCATGCTTCTGGCATGTCTTAATGTTTATAATAATTGGAGCATTTTCAGCTAGAATAAGAGATTTAAAAATTTTCATTCTAGTTAGTAAAATATTTTGTAGCATTTCATGAATGTAATTTTGATGAACTTCTGGTCCATACTGATATATATGAGGATCTGTATTTGATAGTAATGATGTATTCCATATATTCTCTTTTCCAACTACTCAATTTCTTCCTCTTATATTAGGAAAATTTTATCGAATAATAGTCAATTAATTATGCAGTATAAGTCTCCTAAATCTATTTGTTTCTTTTAGGAACATTGTTTTGTTCCATTTAGGGACAAACAAGAAGGAGGTTTTTACCCAACATATGTCCCAACTTTTTTTTTTAATATCTATCTATGTGCAATATGGTGGATTAGCATGAATAAATATTGCACATTTCAAATTTTAGATGAAAATACCTAGCTCTTGACTAAAAGCCAATTTTATTGGGAGAATTTTGTTGCCTTGATGTCTATAAGTGCTACAATATATTAAATCAAATATACCAATACTAAAATGAAAAAAAATTGTTCTCATAAATATTGATCAAGCTATTTATAGAGGCATTAACAAATGATTTTGCTAGATCAATTTGTTAAGCAGGGCTTTTAACATTAAAAGCCTAATATATAAATTCACTAGCATATTTAAAATCAAGTTTTGAGAATCACATAGTCTGGAAATATTTATCTAAATAATCTTGCAAACTTCAGGTTGCAAATTAATGTCAATCACACATCTTACCATTTTATATAGATGTATTTATCAAATATTGAATACTTGTATGGCTTATGTGCTTCTAAATGGGCCCATATATATTTCTAGAAATGTAGTGATCCATTCAAAAACAAAACATAACTAGTGATATTTTATAATCAATTTTCTTTAAAAACAAGCAGCACATACGAATTCTTAAAAATGTTGGCTATTCGGAAGAATTTTCTGGTTCTTCAATGGATATCAATACATAATTTTTAATGATTTGTTGCATCATATAGTTTAAGATGATCAAACAAGTCATGTCGACAATAAATCTAATTATATCAGTAAACTTCTGGTTTACTATACCATGTTTCATTACCAACTATAAATTTTTTAATATAATATATGATTGATGATATCCATTTATGAAATTGATATGAAAAATATATCCAATATCAAATCATACTTGTATTCCAACAGTTTTCCCCCTCAAGTTTGAGTCATTCAAATATGATTCCTTTATTCATATATTTCATAAACAGTTGCTAGCATATAATAGGTTAAACCAATAACCTATTTTTTTGCTTGGAAGCCCAAGTACTTCCTAGTTCATATAAAGTTACGGACTTTAATCCAATTGTACTATAACATTTACACTCTTTGGAGAACCAAAGCAGTGATGTAGATTTATGAGTCATATTTTTCACTATCAATACTTTGTCTACTCATAAAGAAAAATCAGTATTAGTTCTTCTGGAACTATATTAATACTATTACATCTAGTTCTTGAGGAACTATAGAATTTAAGAGGAATATGAAAGACAACTCTATTTCAATATATCATTAACATAATAACAAATAATTATAAGTATCACAGATTTAACTTGCAATACACATAGAGAACACACAAAAATGATGAAGAGCATTTAAAATGAACTTTTTAAAAATAAAGTACAAATAAGACTTAACGTTCAAAACTTCTAAATATTGATCAAGGTACTATAGACATTTTAAATATTCAAAACTAATATTAAATCAGATCATATAAATAAGATATAAATAAACAAAATATAACTATTAGCTTTTGGGTCTATTTGATCTATTTAGTTTTATATCACACACTTATCAATATCACAATATCAAATTCTTATAACTATTTTTTTCTCACAAATCACAATAAATTTAACGACTGATAAAAATTAAATATTATACATATAGCCTTCTAGGCATATACTTATATGTTTTCTATTTTTATATATACTTTAGGCATCTATCTTTCTTCACAACTTATTGTTTTCAGGCATTAGAATTACCTTCGATATTTTCATAATATCACATGGTCTTTTTGATTCCATAACCATTTTTTTTTTAACATTTGCTTTTCAATGAATTGATACATATTTGTTTATATGACTTCTGGTCATATTATAACAGTTGTTCATAATTTTATCATATTGATATAGGGCTATTACTAATTCTTATGTTATGATTCAATAGCCAAGCCTCAAGATTATTGCCCTTTTAGTTATCAGTTCCACTTATATAATGTGATCATACTCTTTACCACTCTTATGGATATATTCCTTGCTTTTAATAGCATACCATCATTTTTCTCAAATATTAGTCTTCAGGACCATAACAAAATTTTCAGAACTACGAATTTTTTTGCATCATTTCATTTTAACCATCAATCTTCAGGACTTTAATATAGATTATCAAATTGTGACAATCTTGTCATGCCATCTCTTACTATCACAAGATGGTCTTTTATCAAATAATCATCAAAACGTGATATGGCTTCTGGCTATCTAATTACAAAATCAAGAGTACAATGGCTATTAGCCATTCGTTTATATATTTAACATTTATTTTCTAAGACAACAATTAACTAATATCAGAGATGATAATCATATATAATAATTTTATAGATGAACATAAACCTCATAACAAATCAAGAAGTATAAAGATAATAGAATCATGAAAATATAAGAAAAATAAGAAATAGAAATAAAAAATTTTATATCTCAATACAATGATTAAAATATTCAGTTGTCAATGAATCAATATGGTTAATATGCAAAACCATCATTTCTTCTAAATAAATTGGAGAAATCTTACCAAACTGTTCGAATCAAACTATCTTCATTCAAAGAACAAAACATTAGCATTTATCAACTAGAAGCTATGAACTTAGATGATAGAGTCTCGTGCTGATAACGTGTTATGAAATGGATCCAAAATGAAACCACAAAAGTAGAATAGAGAAAGATAAAGACAAAAGAATGAGAGAATGATATTGTATTTCTTCACTTGTTTCACTTGCATCACAATACAATGGCATGCCTTATTTATAGGTATAATCTTACACATAAGTTACATTTGTACTTAAATGATAGATAGTGAATAATAAACCATATGAATATGAGTAGGGGGAGTTACAAGATTAAAGGCATAGTGGAAAGGTAATGGAGTAATAGAAAATTAATACCTAGTGGAAGTAGTGGGAGTTGATGATGAAGTTGAGAGGAAAAGGAAGAGGAAGAAGAGGAGATGGACATCCACATATTATAATATTCATAACAGGATCATAATATATAATTCTTTTTACATTACAAAAGTCCAACCAAACAATTGAATCAGCCCATTACATCTAGATTACATGTAATAAACTTTTATGGAATTGAACCAAAAGGGCCATATATAATTTAAAAGGTGGAATACGCTTGCACGCTCCGAAGCGAAACAAGTGTCAAATTTGTTACCTATGAGGCTATAACTAATGTTGGTATTTTTAGTGTGGTAGGACTCATTGATTTCTAGGCGAACTTAACGATCACTATTACTAGATTTAATGGACACGACACCTTTGTTTCATTTCAGAATGTTCATGCATACTAACATACATCTGAAAGTTTTATGGTGTCAGGGACAGATAGGGGAATTTATTTATACTCATCATAGTTCAGTGAACTTTAATAAGAGGAAGTATAAGAGTATACAAATTTCTAAACATATTTATTGAAAATTTCTTAAAACATACATTTGTTCTTGTACAAGGTTACAAAGTCTTTGCGTCTCAAACTTAAATAATACATATCATAACACAATAGAACATTGGCATATTACAATCAAAGTTCATCATACATAACAAAATAATTAGATTTAAATCATAATTTCTTTATCTTTACTCCCACTTGTTCTAACACCTATGAAGGTTAAAGATGGAAAGGGGTTTGATTTCGGGAGAAATCCCTCACCATTCGCTGTTTCAGAAAAATTCCAATATTAATTCTGTCAATGTTATATGAGTCTAGCTTCTTCTATTATACTCAGCCTTGTTGTTGTGAGATAGATTTTAGGATATCTGAATAAAATCAAACCATAATTAGGAAAATAGTTTATGGGGGAAAAATTATTTTTGAAAATAAATTTTAGAAGAATAGATTTTGTAAAAAAAAATAATTTTAATAAAGTGAGAATGTTTGGATACTTGTTATCAGAAACACTTTTTATATATACAAATTACTAAAAAGAATATAAGTTAATATGATAATTACATAAAAGATAGATTTTATAATATATTTTTATTTGAAGTAATAAATTTGTTAATAATATATTTTTTACCAACATAATAAATAATATAATAAAATATAAATAATTAATAATTAATATGTGTATATATATTTATAAAATATAAGATTAAATATGTTTGGGTTAATATAATTTTTGGTTTCTCAAATTTGTCTTCATTTTGGTTTTAGTTCCTCAAATTTCAAATCATAAGTTTTAACTTCTTAAGGGGTAAAATAGTCTAAGTTTTTATTAGATTATAAAAACCAATGTTTTAAATGAAAAGAAATTTGAGAGACTAAAACGTATGATTTAAAATTTGAGGGTCATAACCAAAATGAGGATAAATTTGAAAGACCAAAGTTTATATTAATCCAACATGTTTTTAGAAAAATGATTATTTTATCTTAAAGATTTTAAACATGAAATTTCATAATATTTTTTTTAAAAAATTGAATAAACAAATGTAAGATCAATTTATTAGTTATATGATTAATTAATAATTAGTATCCATATAAAATATAAGATGAAATATATATTTAAAAATAATACTCTTCTCATCAAATTTCTAAAACCCATCCTCCTGAGTGTTCGTTCGTGAATAAATACTGGCCGTTGATATCAATTTCACCTATTTCCCCTCAAAGAATCCCCTTTCTTCACCGGTGCTTGGCGTTTCACGATTTGGGTCCGTCTCCGTCCGGAGCTCGCGTTCGTCGTTCATACCTGGTGCGTCTTTGCCTTTCTTCCACTCCTATCGCCGTGATTAACAAGTGTGAGGTTGGAGTACAGCGTGATTTTTGCATTTGGGATTAATGCGTCCATCGTCTGCTTTTCCCCGAGTGCTAAATCTATCGTTAACTCGTCATCCATGGCTTGTTCTTCCCACTCGGATTCATCGCTTAACAGTTCCGTAGCCAGTGGCTCTTCGTTGTCCAGTTGGTAGCTCTAGGCTTCGAGCTTTCGTTGACGTGTAACGCCACATTAGATCACTTATGACTGCCGCATAATCGCTGACTCGACGGAGTCAAGCCACGGTGGACGCCTAGAATTGTTGTAGAGATGGCATGATATAGGGATTGATTAACATTGTCGAAGTTGAGAAAGGAAGTGAGAGCTATGTTTCGAGTCCGAGGAAGCTGGGCCCGATTCTCAGAGCCGTTCAAGTTTCTTCGAACCGCATCATTCTCTAGCAATGCTAAAAACTCTTCCAATAATTCCACGAAGAACGACATGATCATCCGCGATGAGAGGTATAGGCAGCTGGAGAATCTTGACTTCATGACTGCGGCAAAGATGCTTTTCACCGACCCTCCAAAGAAAAAGAAATTTGGGTATTGCATTTATTTCCAAGTTCTTTTTTTCAGTCTCATTTGATTGCTTTCGTATTTGACTCTCACGGCAAGGTTCTAGGTCACTGAGTTGTGGTTCGTTTGGGACTTTTTTTTTGTTCCTGGCTTTGGTTTCTCTGGCATTTTGCTGAGTAGCTTCATTTCAATGCCGATTCTTGTGCTTCTTTGGAAATCGGAACTAACTATTAATCCGTAACTTTCTTTATATGTGGTAGAGCATTCGTTTTTTTGAGTTATCCTGTGTCTTTTTGTATGTGAGTATCATGGCTAGTTTCTGTCTCTGGATTCGGTTTGTTTGTTCTTTCAACTCTGCTCTCTTTGGCATTTCATAGAACAGCTTCATGTAAGTGTTGCTTCGGATCTTACCTGGAAATTGGAACTGAAATTTACTTACAATCCCTCACCGTCTCCATCGCAATACCTCTACGTGCATCTATATCTTTGTTAGCACGTTCAAGACTCAGGCTGCTCAACCGAGTACACCGAAAAATCTGTTTGGTGTCTGAATGGGAAATTTTCTATTTGCCACTGATGATGATCATTGGTCAGATCTCATTGTGTAGGTTCAAAGGTATCCACATTGTGTGCATGGGTTTTATTCTTCTGAATGCTTGGTTTTCTTCTTGTTTGTGAAATTATATTGAAATAAAACGGGGAAAAAACTATGTTTGGTTCTTTACTTAGATTGACCTTGAGTTGAAACGTTGCTTGGCGTGTATCAGATTCTGTGATTAATTAAGGAGGAGACCAATCCTTGACAACTTTCATTCTTCTTATCAAAATGAAGTTGATGAGCTTTTAAATGAGCAAACATATTAGATCTTATGCTGAAATCATTATGGGGTTTCAATTATTATTTTGAGCTCTCAGGATAAAATGTTTATCAACAATCATAAATTATTAGAAATTACATGGCTACTGCTTGCTACCCCATCAACATCTGCCTGTGTATAATAATCGAATTTATTCTCACATTATTGTTCTCTTTCGTGGTCAGGCTTGATTTCCATCTTGTGCAACTTTTCTTTGCCTGCTTGCCTTCTTTAGGTTTGAAACTGATACATTTCACTTATATTCACATTCATTAGATATTTTTCTAACTTCTAGTGATACCGTCTGAAACAAGTACTTTCTTGCAACAGCTGTATATTTGGTGGCTCAATATGCACGTTATGATATGAAGATAATGGAGGCGGTATGTATTCTTTCCTTGTTATCAATATAAAATTGACATGAAGTTCTGAACATCATATAATTAATGTGAATATCCATTGGTAAAATAGTGATAGATATCCATCATCTTAATGCCCTTCGCGTTTACCATTCCAGGGATTTCAATACATTATATGGGAACCCGTAACGATGAAAATGGACATAGATCAGATTACAAGACTTGAGATAGAATTGTGATGCAGTTGCTTGTGGTTCCACTGTATAAGCAATGCATATTCAGCATGTTACATATGTGATGATATACGGATCTTAAATTTGTATCAGTTATTGTTTGTTTGATCTCTTCCTTGTTAGTTATCCGCACTAATCAGAGTTAGGTCTTGGTTTTGAACTAAGTAGTAAAGCATGACCCAATTTTTTGTCACATTGACTGTGTCATTATACCTAGAAAACGATCAGAGGCACAACAATTCATATAATTATTTTGTTAGGCTTCTCTTTTAACAATGGATTATCCTCCGAATCATTGCTTAGGAAGTGGAGCAGAAAAGGAAGCTAAGGGATGAAAAGGAGGCAAAAGAAAGAGAAGAATTAGAGAAGTTAAAACCCCCTGATCCACCGCTTCAGGAGGTGAAAGTCAGACTTGACAAACTTGAGGAAGCAGTGAAGGAGATTGTGGCTGAAACAAAGAAACAATCAAGCAGCAACCTCCCTCAAAATCATGTGAAAGACGGTGAGAAAAAGCATGCCAAATCTTCTTCTACAGAAAGCGACAAAAACATTGCTTTACCACCAGATAAAGCTGTGGAGAAAGATAATCTCGGTAAGCCTGTTAAGCCAAACCCAGAATCAGGCCAAGACAGTCCAAAGAACAAAATGGCAGCTCCGAAATCTTCCCTGGGTGACCAGAAAAGCCAAGGTAAAGGTGGCGGCGGCAGTGATTAAAGAACCAGACCGGAAGAATTCAGTTAGTTGAATTGTTCACCAGACTTCCTAGTAGCTTGGCTTAGATTAGAAAACCATTTTCGTGGTTGAGCCAAGTTGATTCGGAGTTGAGCTGTTATTGAGCCGAAGCCCAGAATCAGATTGGAACCTAGAATGACTTTGAGGAAACTCCATGTTTTATGTTACGAATGATTGAGAATGAGAGGTAAAATTTGAGACTGAGATTAAAAAAAACTATTAAAAGAGTATTTAGTACGAGTAATTGGTTGTTACATGGGATTCGATAAACTCATAGAAGTGGGATTAGAGAACGCTATCTCTGCCTATAGGTATTCTTTAATTCTAAGTACATGGGTTTGTCCAATTGCATGTAATAAGTAATCTTTCATACCAAATACTTTTCTAATATATTTTCATTCTCAATTACAATCCTTACTTTTATTTTCAATGCTTCGTATCAAACGAGATCTATTATTTTGGACATTACAACCAAAAAAAGGTTGAAAAAAAAAGATTTAACCATGGCAGGGTATGAAGTTATTTAATTGAAAACTTCATATATTATGGCATATCATATTGATAATTGAAGTTATTATGGTATTATGGCATATTATGTTGATAATTGAACTTATTATGTGTTGGCAAAATAAAAAAAAATTATTATGAATTTATTTGATATATGTCATATACATATAATTCTTTTATTAACATTTTAGTTAATTATTATGTCATCTTGATGTTGGTCTAACAAATTGAATTATAAATTGAGACTTACTAATTTTTTCAATTTGACTTTCTGTCTAACATTTAAATATACAATATATATGTATTACTACCTTCGGTCCTTAATATAAGATCCTATTTAATTTTTATTTTGGTCCTAAATATAAGATCCCAATACACTTTATCTCTCATACTACCTCTGGTCCTAATTATAAGATCTAGTTAACTAATTTGAGGAGATTAAAGAAAGAAGTTAAATTAGTTATTTGTAATAAATATGTATTGTTTTTCCTAAAATATCCTTACTAATCAACTATATTGGCTAGAACTACAATTATTAGAAGGACTATCTTGGAAAAAAAATACATAAATATGAGAGACAAAGTGGATTGGGGTATTATATTTAGGACCAAAATAAAAGTCAAACATGGTCTTATATTAAGGACCGGAGGTAGTATTTATGTTTTTTTTTCAAGGTAATCTTTTTAATAATTATAGTTCTAGCCAATATAGTTGATTAGTAAGTATATTTTAAAAAAGACAACATCTATTTATTACAAATAACTAACTTAACTTCTTTCCTTAATTTCCTCAAAATAATCAATTGAGTCTTATAATTAGAACCGGAGGTAGTATATTGCAAAAATAATTTAGCATCCATAATTAATATATATAGGTACGCAATTGTTAACGCAGTTTATTTAACACACACATGCTCGATGTGTTATGTTTGAATGTTTGATATACCATGCGTGTGAAGAATGACCAAAGTCACACACATAGTATATGCCCTAGCTGGTTTTTTCTTTTGTTTTTTTTTTTAAAGTGAAAATTAGGCATTTAGTTGACATGTTTGATGAAATGGATTATAATACACTGACTAAAAGATTAAGATGACAGAAAAAGATGACGTGGCTGTTTATTTGGGTGATAATGAGGATGCTAGCATGTGAGATGATTGGGATTCTTCGATGACATGGCCAATAATGAGGACGATGACGTGGAGTGGTCTTTGACATGTTGGCTGACGATGAGCCTGCTGACCAGTGAGCTGACTAGGACTTTCTGCTCGTGTGGGATTACATGGAGAATGACTTGGATACGGACAAGTCCCTACTAAATTGCAACATTTTTTTCGGTGGCGCGTCTTAGACCAATGGATCCATCTGACGGTTCCTATTGAGAGACGGGCTGTGCGGGGGATTCAGAAGTGTTTGCCGCTCAAACTTCCAGAAAAAGACAAAGGTTTGAAAACTTTGTGGCAATTTCCTGGTAACATGCTGAATAGTTACCGTTAGTTCCACTAAAATCAAATACAAGGATGCAAATTTCCATCACCACTGTCCAATCCCAGTTCGTTTCCCAAAGCTTTTCCAAATTTAAACTTCCGTTCATCATCACCCACTCCACACAATATTCCATGATCCTTCGCCCTTGATATTCAAACTTCAGAGGGACCCACCTACCCATCATCTGTATCTGTCTATCACTCTCTCTCTATATATATATATAATTATATATCCAATGATGCGTAGCCGTTATTAAATGCTTTATCAACACCTGGTTCTTTCCCCACAAAGACAAAACTCAACTGCTATTCCAGTTCATGGAAGATTATGATCATTCTCCTTTCTCGTATTTTTCTGTCAGGTGAGGCAAATCTCCCATATCACCAAATCCCAGAAACGTTTAAGCCTTCATTGAATGAATCTATGCACCCTGACTCAACTTCAGAAGTTTGAATCCCTGCAATGTCAACTCTTCTCAGATACTGAAGCTTTTCCAACTAAATCCCATAAAGTTTGATCATTTGAATCATTTCTTTGGCACCCAGATGATGGATGGTTGCAAAAAATCCTCCACACCGGGCCAGTCATACAATTCTCTCTATGTCAATCCCCTCACTGAGCTCAGGCATGGCCGTAGCTGTAGCCACGACTATGGCCGTTTAGCTAACAAAGGTGACGACTTTGAAGATTTCGCTCACCGAAGCACGAGAATCTTGACGGATAACAAAGAGAATGCGACGCCTAACAAGAAAGAAACTGTAGCTTCTTCTGGTGATGACAAGGAAAACGCAGTGCCCAAAAAGTTCTCGAATTCTAGGTCTCTGTCCACTGATAGGATCTTGAAGCCTACTTCGCTTCAGTTCTGCATGCAAATGAATGATTCTGAAAAAGCTTTTGGGTCTAAGATATGGGATCGTTTTGATTTGGAGAATTCGAGCTCTCTGAATGCTTGGGACTTTTCCGATTCTGAGGCAGCTCCAGCTTCATCGTGGTCAACTCTGCCAAATAAGTGAGTAAAAACTTTCCTGGAAAAAAAATCCAACTTTAGGCTCGTATATGTCGGTTTTCTGAACTTTCGTTTTTCAGTTTTGATGAATTTCTAATCCTCTGAGAATCTCAATTTTACTTAGAAGTTGATCCCTCTTTGACGAATTTATGTCCAGGTCTTTGGTCTGTAGACCATTGCCCGCTGATGTTGGAAGATGTACATGTGTTATTGTGAAGGAAGCATCGCCAGAAGGACTGTCTGGAGGCACATTGTTTTCTCTTTATACCTATGTAAGATATCTGTAATTATCAGACAGTTAAGAATTATGATGGGCTGTCATTCATATAATCTAACATGCACGGTCAAACGCGAAAGACAGAAAAACTTATTAGATGAGAGTGTTGGCACTTGGTGCAGTGGCTGATCTTAGTATCCTTAAACTTGGGACATGTCGCATCATGATTGTTGCCTACATTTCAGTCAGCAGTGTCAAGACTGTTATGAGTGCTTTGCAATGAAGTCATAAACTCATAATACATCGAGTGTTAATATTCTTACCTTTAGTTCCTTGCATATATACCTTAAACCTTGACTTCAGGGCATGTTAACATTCTAGGAAGGCAAAGGACGGCAGAATAGGAAACTGGCTGTGGCTTACCATAAGAGGCGAAATGGGAGGTCTCAATTCACCATAGCTCAGAATGTAAAAGGACTTTTGTCCAGTTCAGATGATAGTTTTCTTGGAACAGTGATAGCCAACTTCATGGGTTCAAAATACCACATATGGGATCAGGTTCAGTCTAATGCCCTCTTTCTTTGAAAATTGCAGTACAGGATAAAATACATTTAGAAGCCATCTGGTTTTATCTTTGATTCCATGATATATTTAGTATAAGATATCATTTTGGCTTCTGAAACTTGTATTACAAATTTTTGTGTTATCATTCACTGTCTTCAAGCATTTTAGATGACACTAAATGTCTTTTGAATAATAGGGTATTGAATACATACATCTTAGATGCTTCCTGACATCTTATATAGACCTCATTTGGAAACACGATTTGAAGCACTTATAAGCACGTCTCATATATGCTGAGACAATTCTTCTCACATGCTTATCTCATATTATATAAATCATGATTGAAAAACTACTTACAAGCCATTCTAAAGAGGCCCATAATCTTACTTGTGAACTTGTTGCTTGTAGGGATATCGTCATGATTGCTGGGGTAAACAGCCAAAACCACCTCTTGCTGTTGTGGCGTAAGTCCATATCTTCATCTACAGCAGCCACTTTGAGGGGGTCATTATTCTCTGCTGATCCGAGAATTTATTGTCTTCTTTTGCAGATTCATCCCAACTATAGCAACATGTACAGGAAGTTACAGAGGCATGAGGGCATATGTACCCAAACATCAATCTATGTCACTGAAGAACACAAGTCAGGTTAGCTTAAAAGTTTCTGTATTAGTTTGAGGTCCTTCCCATCATCACTTTGATGCACTAATAATTTTCTATTGCAACAGAAAACCTTAAAGACAATATCACCTATATTCTATTTCCATTGTCCAGTCCAATATAATGGCATTCTTCAAGTCCAATTTGGTTGTATTACAGGTACAACATATCAAAGGACTGCCAACAGATTGGGAGGAAAAGCTGGACAAAGTGCATCAACTATACTCAAGAGTGCCAATTTACAACAAGGTATGAGGCTAAAAGGACATTTTACTTAGTCATGTAGCAGTAAGACATTTGAACCTGACCAGTTCCTGTTGGTTTACTTAGATTTCAAAGCAGTTTGAACTGGACTTCAGAGATAAAGGAAGACCAGGACTTCAGATCCAGGCATCAGTTAAAAATTTCCAGCTCACTTTGGAGGTATAACAGAAGTCCTAACCACAGGAGACTGTAGTTCAATTGAGAGTTCAAAGTGATTGAACCTGATTTTTTGACCCACCCATCTACCTACCCATCTGTACGGCGTGCAGGTCTTAGAAATCTAAAAAATAAGATTTTTTTTCCCCCTTAAAACTAAAAAGAGAAAATGACGGAAGGTGAACGGCATGTTAGTGCAGATGCACATTTTTTAACCCCATGGTTGACCATGTTTAAATAACCTCATAGGAGTAAAGAACATGAGTTAGCATTAACTGGTCATTTCACTTCCTGCCATTTTTCTATGCAAAACAATCTCATTGAGTTAATTTCAACATCTGCATGTAAATTATAAATAGACACTTGACGTTGTTAAATTTTCTCATCAGTCATATGTATTCTCAGTTTCTCCCTTGTAAAAATTTGTGATTCAAAATGAATTATTAAGGATGGAGCCCTTCATAAAATATAACCAAAACTAAGTTGCTGTTTAGCCTGTAACTGAGATTAAAGAAGTTTTAGTTGACTTTGTCCATGACGTGGCCAGGAGAATGGGAAGCAAACAATTCTGCAGTTAGGCAGGGTGGCAAAATCAAAGTTTGTTTTGGATTACAGGTATAAACTAATCACTTTCAATTTGATGTTGCCTATCAGAGCTTTCTGGCTTGAAAATTAGGCTTCAATTTGGGGATTTGAATAAAGCCTTTCGGCTTAAAGTTTCTTTAAGCATGTTGGGCCTAGACTTATGCTGTTCATCTTCTGCTTACAAAGAAACAACCAGTCTGTTCTATGTAATTGTTACCTTTTTCATTGACATTAATTTAGTATTTGAGTTGGATCTTTCATAATTAACCCACATCAGTGGGATGTGTCTGTGAGTATAGAGATAGCTTTGGACTGCCACCCGCTTTAGGTGGTTTTGCCCAATCCCATAAGTCTATTTGGCAAAACTTTCTAATTGTGCAATTTGTGCAACTAGAAAGAAATACAATAATAAGCTGAATTCATATTTCTGCATATGCTTGGTTTTGCACCAAACCTGAATTCATATTTCTCCATCAACTTTGCAGATATCCCTTGACAGGTTACCAAGCATTCTGCATATGCTTAGCTTCCATTGATACAAAGCTTTGCTGCTCAGTGTAGCCGGCCCGCAACGCCATCACTTTTGTTCAACCTCTGAACACAAAAATGGTTTTTTTTTTTTTTTTGGTTGTGCTTTCAAGTTGAAAGTTAGGAAGTTAAGAAATGGCTTATGGGTTTCTTAGAGTTCAAAATGTCTATCAGTTTCTACTTCAGGAACTTCGAAATTAAGCAACTTCATGCATCAAATCTTTGTGCTCAGTGATCAGATTATTTCTTTCAAGAGTTATGCAGAGTTGGTTGCCATTATCTCTAGATCTGAATGGTCCTCTCAATTAGACTCTGAAGATATTCTTTTGAGAAGATATGATCTATATATAGATCTACATTCTCTTTTGTAAGTGGAACTGTGACTTGGATGGCATGCGTAAGAGCACTAAAATCTCAAAGCCAAAAAGCTTTACATTAAAGTTAAAAAAATGAGCTTTGAATAGGAATATTCATGGAGCTTTGCTCTTTTATCTTGCTGCTACATTGAAGCATGCATCTGATCTGAGAGTGGAGATTCCAACTTTTTCAGTTGCTTTTATTTTTATCCTGCATAAAGCTCACCCCCACTTGGCTTTGAAGTGCCTTTTAAAGCACTCGTTTTGAAAAATTAGCCGCTTGAAATGAAATGGTCCTTTTGGTCGTTAAAGAAAGGTCTAGAGATTTTTCTCACAATCCACACACACCAAAAGTTTACAAGCAAAAATAAAGAAATAAGCTTTTATGTTCTAAACTCTAAAGGATTATTAATAAATAAAAAGTGAATAATAAAGTTTAAAATTTAACAAAAAGTTTAAATATTTGGAACATTTATATATCAAGAGTCACTAACATTTTTTTCCCACAAAAGGAATTGAGAATGAACTGACACAATTCCACAGTAGCAAAAAGAGGGAGGGGAAAATGGGAATGACACAGAAGGATCATGAAATTAAAGAATGGCATTATCCGACTGCGAATTTATCAAAGAAAGAAATAAATGGACGAAAATGCCTTTACTTGGTTAACACATTCTTAGTTGTAAATTCTAAAAATTTGAAGATTGACTGCAAAACACTCATGGAAACTGAAAGCTTACTGTACAAATTGAAAGGTTAATTTTAAATAGGTGTATTACTCCTTTGATCCTAACTGTAATAGTTAGTAATGGAGTTAGTTTAGGTCCTAAAGTAAGACCTTAATCCATCTTATTTATCACATTTATTATTATTTTTAAAGTTAATTATCTAACTTGAAATTGATTATGTAATACTATATAGGAATATTTTATAGAGATTATGTCAAATCTATTAGAATTAAGTAATTTATTTTGTTTTTATAATTTATTTAAACAAGTTAAGTAAATCTTATACTACCTCCGGTCCTTAATATAAGATCTCGTTTGACTTTTATTTTGGTCCTAAATATAAGATTCCAATCCATTTTGTCTTTTATATCTATGCATTTTTTCTCAACGTAATCCTTTTAACAATAATAATTCTAGCTAATACACTTGATTAGCAGGGATATTTTAGGAAAGACAACATTTATTTATTACAAATAACTAACTTAACTTCTTTCCTTAATTTCCTCAAATCAATCAACTAGCTCTTATAATTAGGATCAGAAGTAGTATTAAGGCCAGTAAAATATAAGATTTTTGTAAACCTAAAAAATATAAGTCTGAAAACAACTTATGAAAACCTCGTTGAAATGACTGATGACCTAATTAAAGCATTTAAAAAAAACATTTAATAGTTACTGTAACCGATTGAATTTCCAATTCTTACGACTGAGTTTGAGTTTCTGAAATTTATACTCCTCCGTTTCTTAATATAAGACCCATTTAACTAATTTGATTAGATTAAGGAAGTTAGGTAAGTTAGTTAATTATAAAAAAAGTGACACATTTTTCCTAAAATACCATAGCCATCTTTCTTAATACCCCTCCTCTCTTTTATACTTAATTATAGTTGAAGGAGTATCCACAGGGGTAATTTAAAGAAAATTGATAAATATGATGAATGGGTCTTATATTTAGGACCAAAACTAACTCAAGAATTGGGTCCTATATTAAGGATTGGAGGAGTAGTTACATTTTCAAGATTTACAAAAAAAATTATAATTTACAACTAAGCTTCTCATTTTGAGTTTATAATTGAATTATTAAAATTTGCAAGTAAGTTTCCAATATTATTTACAACTGAGCAATGGGGCAACACGAAATTCTATATGCTCCTCCGACCTATTTTGTAGTTTTGCAGTGTAATGGGTATTCTATTCAGAGATGAATGATTATAACAGTTCAAATGTATTAACCTAATTTAAACAAAATAATTAAAATCTAATTTAAAATTAAAGTAAATTATAAAGAGTTCCAGGTTAATTTTTTCTAGAATACTACCTCTTGTCCTTAATATATGAGCTAGTTTGATATTCAGTTTGGTTTTAAATATAAGATCTCAATCTATTTTGTCTTTAATATTTATCTATTTTATTGTCAAGTAATTTCTATAGTAGTTGTACATATTAAAGAGTTACTATTAATAGGTGATTCAAACACATATGATTAATAAGAACATTTTAGAAAAGATAACACCTATTTACTACAAATAATAAACTTAACTAATTTTTTTAATCTCTTCAAATTAATTAACTAGGTTTTATAACAAGGATCGAATATAATATGTTATTCATATTAGTGGTAAAACTTAATTAGAGAATTAGTATATGTACATTTAATCAAAGAAATATATCTAAATGAATTTTAGTTCTGACTGAAAAATTACTATTGTAAAAAAGAATTACATGTAAAAATACCAAGCCAAATTAATTTTAAAATTTACTATTGTAAAAATAATTTACATCTAAAAATATTAATTTGTGATTGAGAATTGTTCTATGTTGGACCAGCAAAAAGAAAGAACCATTTTGGATGCTCATAACTTTGATAAGTATCACAAGCTTATCAAATCTTGACCGTTCTAATATAATTTGAACGGTTTAGATTTTAAATTTTTAGTTAATTATTTTTTAATTTTTTTAAAAATAATAGTTTAGAGATTTTTTTTATTTTAGATTTTATATGACATTGTGTTTTCAGGTTTATCAACTGGATGCAGATTTAAATATAGATTGTTTAGATAAGTTTTAAACAATTCCGATTCGATGAGTTTCAGCTAATATCAAAGTAAAAAAAAAAAAAAAAGAACAGTGAATCGATCATCTGAAACCAGCAAAGCCATAAGTCTTTTGTTTTTTTGCCAGAAAAGCCATAAGTCATAATAACCAAATAATTAATATGAAGCCAAGGGTTTTTTTTTGTTTTTTTTTTGAGGCCAACGACAATCTTCCTTTTGACATTTGCATGAGAACGACATTATGGTACGCTCACACCGGGCTACTCAGTACTCACGACTTCTAACAAAGACCAAAGTTTAAAACTTCTCTCCTTGGAAAGAAAACCCACCTCGCAGTTCTTCCTCCAAGCGAAGCTGTTCTATCAATGGACAAGTTTTTGGCGCTAATTTGCCCTAATTCTCCATCCGTATGCAGTTCTCGTCTTTTCAGTTCGTTTTCGTACAGATATAATTCTGTTGGGCTTTTCTTCGACATAAATTTCTTGTTTTCTTTCGCCTTACTCTCTGGCGGCTAAGAATGCTCAAAGCAATTTCTTCAACAAAACAGATAGAATTAAAAACGAAGCTTTTGAACTTCGTCCAGAAGAACATGTTTGAGCATGTTTATTTGGTTTTAAGCCAGCATTTCTGACAAATTAAACTAACAAAGAATTTTTCGTCTTTGTATGAGTTTAAGTGAATTATGTGGTATTTGACACTTCAAAAACTCTACATTGTAATTTTCTTCTGCATGAGTATATCGTGTTCTACATGTACTCATTTTCCACCCAATCGACTAAGTCTGATAAACTAATACATGAAGACTCTCAAATTACGTTTACTCTGTACTATGAAATGGAGTGATAGAAGAAACATATCCTTATGACTCTGTTTCTGTTTGTCCTTTGAGTTGAAATTAACCTTCCCTTTGGTGGCAGAGTGATTAGGGTAGTTTTTTTTTTTTTTAAATAATCGAGAAGAAAGAGAGATTTGATTATTCATTAAAGACCATAAGTTTCAAACATCTCTGTTGATGAACGGCTTTTCCCTTCTTCTGGTTAACAGGTATGGGATGGAAAGGGCTTCTCAGCGTGTTTCGAAGATATATATCCTCGTTTTCTGAATTTGGTTTCAGTTTCTGAATGGATTAAAAACATATGATTTTTTTAATATAAATTTCTTTTCCTTAATAACACCAACGGTTTTAGGTTTTGGACTGAATGCAGCGACTATTGGTATAATTGTTGTGCTTGGATGCATTCACAAGAGCAGCCGAGGAATTCAAAGATCAGACACGCAGGTAGTGGCAGATCTTCATTGGTTCTTAGAAGGCTTGGCCGTAGAAAAGACTGTACCAATTGAACCTTAGTCATATTATTTTCTTGCCAATCTTTAGACTTTCACATATATGACATACAATTTCATTTTATTTTCTATGTGGAAAATACAGCTGCTCAGAACATTTTAACTTCCTCGGTTTTTTCAATCATTTAATAGTCTATGTAAATCTGCTATTCTTATAACCCGTCTTTGTCAAATTATTATGCTGAAATATTTTCTGAGTACACCTCATCAGCGGTTCATATTTGTTTGTCCCTGAACACATGGAGTGATAAATAAACCTGTTTTTCATTTGACAGTAATTGAATTGCCATAAAGAATTGTATAAAAAATTCATAAATTTTTTGTGAAGGCCAAATCAGTGGTGGCATGTTTTCAGTTTTTCAAAAATATGTCCTTCAACTGTTATCCTCACAGGTTCTCCCAGTACAGTATTCTTGGCAATTCATACATTGTCCATTAATTATCAAACTTTTGTGAAATCTGACTCCTAGAGAAATTTCCCACCTTTATTATAGGTTATTCAAGCTTATAATTGCGACATATTTGCATCTTAAATATTTACATGAGAAAATATCTCCATCTGCTGATGCTGATGCAATGAGTGAACAGATGGCCCTTTTGCAGAAGCTTTTCCTGCATCTTATACCAGCTGTTGGAGCATGTGCTTCGTTGTTGGACACAATTTTTCTATGGAAGAGAGAAATTAACAGGCACTTTGCTGGATATCATAAGTGGTTTTATAGCTGTTCAGAGTTGATGGTGTGGGTAAGCTTCGGTAATTTCATTTTGTTTGTTGCGATATTCTGAAATTTTTAAGACATGAAATCTGTAAATTCTTGGAACTATCATTTGTTTATTCTATTTGTAGACAAATATCATTCTCTTCTCACCGTGTGTCAGCAGTCATTACATGCTATGCAACTATGTCCTTTGTTACTGGTGGATTATGAAACCACTATTCTGGATCTTCCATTTGCTTACAAAGTTCCCATTGTTGGAGGTGCTGTTGTTGGTTTCCAGGTTACAATTCTTTTTTTCTGGGCATGTCATTTTAACTTTTGATTCACAGAATTGTTGGTTTCGATTGCAGACTTCAATATGTGTTGTGGAAAGCTTTATTCTTCTGCTGAATATCACATTTGGCATATCTATCAATGTCATAAGAATAAAGATATTGTCTTCCAAAACCAGGTACGTGCTGGTCAGTTATTTTTTACATAGTCACTTTCTTTTTGAGGTTTTGCTAAATGTTATGTGAAAAGCATTAGTAAATTTTAGAAAGTGGGGAATCTATTTTTCCCTCTTACTTGAATATCATGCTGGTTGGATGATTTTATTAAATACTCCCTCCATTCTTGTATCTAAGTTTCTTTTAAATTCTTTACAGAAACCAAGGAAGTTTGTTAAAATTAGCAGGAATTCTTGAACTTTTCGAAAATGAACCATTACTTTCCAAAATTACCCTCATTAAATTATAACTTTGTTATATCTACTCCCTCTCCCCACCATGACTTTTTGATTATTTAATAAGGGTTGAAGTCGAAAAAAGGTATTTAATGTTGCCTAGAATATGTAAAGTGATGCAAAAAAAAAAAAAAAAGGATTATGCAAAGTGATTTATATTTTAAATATTCAAAACTCTCTAGAATATGACTTGCATATAGAAATAGAGGCTGTATTTAAAAGGATTATCAAGGGCATAAAAATTTTGAAGGTCCAATGTTGAAGTGTGATGTTTGCTTTTTCCTTCACTCTTTATCCCTTGGCATTCCAAATAACTCTTTTATGTAGCCAGCTGTGTTGTTAAAGTGATTTTTTTCAATGGCCAGTTAAAGTGATGCTATCTGTGTTATAGCAAGCATATTACACTCACTTGATTGTCTGTTTCATTTAGTCTATTCTTTTGTTGATTATATTTTCTTACAGAATATAAGGAATTTCTGACTGAATCTGTTGTCCCAATTTTAGTTCACTTGAAGATCCACTTCTTTCCAACCATATGGACCTTGAGGAAGGTTGCCATCGTGATCTTGTAAGTATATGTTGTAAATTTTCACTTTTTTATCAGACACTTAACATTTCAAGTTAATTATTCTGTCACACATATAGGCAGTCATAATCTGTAAATTTGAATAAAAATAACTCTTACATCTTGCTTTTTAACATGCTTCACCATATTCTTTTGATGTGTTAAACAATGTTGTTGATTACGAGTATTTTTATCTTGAATATTTGTTCTCCGCAATCTGCATTAAGGAATAAGCTGCACTATTCATGACTTATGACAGTTCACGTTGTTATCAATTCTATATTTTATATTGATTGATTACTATGATTTGAAACTTATAATTTAGAGAAAATGGTCTGTCTTGTCCTTCTATGAGAGTAGAATCTATATGCTAATTTTTTTCTTATAACATGGCAGAAAGGATTTTGGTAAAGAAAAGTTACTCTCTTTTGATGCTGCCTGATCATTGTCTCTTTCCCCCTAAAACTTAGTTATAAGGTCTTATTAGCTGTCCCTTTCCAACCTTTTTCTTGAAGGGAAAATCTAGGAACTTCTGTGATTTGATGACTTTCAAATTCATAAATCCTGTAATGAACCATGGTGTGGTTAAACAACTGGACTTTGAAGATCTGCTGGAACTACCTCCAGATTTGGATCCTTCTTCCTGTCATGATATACTTTTCACCTGCTGGGAAGCACAACTGAGCAATAATGGTTCAAACCCATCTTTACTTAGAGCAGTATGCTGTGCATATGGATGGCCATATCTCCGCCTAGGTTTATTGAAGGTAAATTTCTGTACCATGTTCTGGTTTCCTCCCCTGTGCTATCCATATGTATATCAATTAAAATTTTGAGATTGTGCACACTATTTAAAGCTGGTATATACTCTAAGCTTAGGCAGCAACGGAGTGCTGGGATACTATTCTAGGTTTTGATTCATGGTGATCTCTTAGACATTGGAACTTTGACACTCTGCCATAATTCCCTAGCCTTCTGTAAGGAGATTCAATTTTTGGATTTATTCTGGTAATAGAAGAATTTCTTTTATCCAGTGAAGTATGTCAAGGTTTCTAGGAAATTTTTTTTAATACTGTTGAGAGTGAGGGCTGTAGATCAAGTGATCAACTGTAATGGTTGCCAGGATTCCAGGCTTAGGATTCATCAATTAAATGAATGAGCTTGAGTAGTGCATTACTGTCATCAGTTATGCAAGCTGAGTTTCAGAGTTTCATGCTTGCCTTATCATTGATTGTATTGGTTATGTCAACTTAACAAGAACATATTTGTCCAAGAAACCAATCTTTTGAATGGAACTCAGTTATTTTTAAAATTCATGCTCTACAACAATAAGATATTTAAACCTCTTGCAGGTGGTTAATGATTGTATTGGTTTTGCGGGACCATTGCTTCTCAATAAGCTGATCCGGTTTCTTCAACAAGGTGTTACAACAATTATTAGTTTGCATTCCTTCATTGTGTTCTTTAAACTGTTGGGAAGCACTTTATATTTCTATTCAACCCATCGCACATCATAAAATCCCTCTTGCTGTCTAAAAGTTATCCTTTTAATTTGGAATTTCCGCTGAATCTGTTATTTAAAAATTGAAATTTGTAACTTTGTTATATAATCAGTTACAACGAATAGAGAAATAAATTGCTAGGAAGTTAGAATGAGCTAGATAATCCTTTTCCTGTTTGATCAGATATGAGCCTATGGAAACCAGGTTACAGAGTGCACCTTGACGACAATGGTCATCTTGTTATTACAAGAGTTTAATGCACTAAAAATCATTTTCATTTTCAGCGAGAGGAATATGGAATGCAAGTATAGCAATCTAAAAGGGGGTGTGTATCCTATAAGTATGCACGTGACAAAATCAGTTCTGATGGCCTTCTATATATTATTTGTTTCTCTCTCTGCCCCTCTGTCTGTTGGTTCTCTCTTACCCAAGGAACGAGAAAGTTTACCAGTACATAGATAATTTATGTTTCTTAGGATGTTCAATAAAATGGAGAAAGGAACAAACAGAAATGGAATATTAAAGTACACGCAAATTAAGCTGTTTGTCTAAGCAACTTCTATGTGAATATTAAAATTAAAATAGTGATTCCCTTTTGGCATATTTTTGTACGATGCTAGTATTCTTATCTTTAAGTGTCTTCCTTTGTCAATTCTAAATTGTTTGAGCAGTTATATGCCAAAATTAAGAATTCATAATATAAAGTGTTCAAGGGGAGTGGTCCCTCCATTCCTTTTTTTTTGGATCTTAGCAGTCAATTGAAAATAGAGCCATAATGAATTGTAATATTTTATTTATATCTTTCAGGTTCGGAGAGTTTGGATGGATATTTACTTGCTATATCCTTGGGCCTCACATCTGTAATTAAGTAAGTTTGGCTTATGTATTTACTAATGTATACTTTTGTTCTCTTTAGTTTTACTGCCAGAATTTTATGTTTCTGGGTGTAGCTGTGCTCAAGTAGTTTTTAATGCTACTTTTCTGGTGATCTCGAATTACACATTGTTAAAGGCACACTGGCATATTGAAAATTTAACTGCTTATCGTTCTTCCCTACTAAATTTGGTAATAGTCATACTTGTATAGACCATATAAAATGAGACTGAGAATCCTATGATAAATTCATAAAGAAAAGAGTATAAGAAGACATAATCTCATGCATCTATGAAATGGATTTTCTTGAATTTTGTTTGCTTTCTAGTGCCGTATTTGTTTCCTTGAGGGATTGCCCCAGCAATAATTCCCTTATTGTATTTGAGCTGTAGCATAAATCAATGGTTTCTAATTTATATGACCGAGATTTTATATTTAAATTGTAGGAGTTTTTTTTTATCTTATTGTATCCTTATTATCCAGATCCTTCTTAGATACACAATATAGTTTTCATCTTGGCAAGCTGAAGCTAAGGCTACGATCTAGCATCATGACTCTAATCTATCAAAAGGTATGTTGCTTGTTTATAGTGTAAGTGGTGAAAAAACAGGTTAGGTAAAAAATAAAAAAAGAATAAATTGCAAAGACCTCTCCTTTATTTTTAAAATATATACCTTAGTCCACTTTTAAATTTTTGGACTAACAAACCCTCCATATTTTAGTATGTAAAAAGGTCCTTTAGTTGAGAAAAGCATGTATTTATGTTGATAGGGGATATTTTAGTTGAAAAACGAATTGAAACTGGACTAAAGTGCAGCGTAACCATTGTTTTAAGGAGTTCCATGCATGTTTTGAAAATAGATGAGAGGTTCATGAACTCAACAAAATTCAGAAGGTTGGATACCTTATTCATAAAATAGTCACGCTATATTTTCAATTCAAATGATGCTATTCCTGTGAATTTTCTATCATTCTATGATTATATGCCTATGATCAGGTTTCCATACTAAGTCATGTATATTGTTATATGCGTTTGAAGTGTCTGTGTGTGAACTTAGCGGAGCGTTCAAAATTCTCTAATGGAGAGATTCAGACATTTATGTCTGTGGATGCTGACCGAACTGTCAACATGTGTAATAGTTTCCATGATGTGTGGAGGTATTCTCTTAATTATGAATTTCTTAAAGTTAAGGCAGACCAAACTCTCTTTGATCTGATCCTAATTGTCTTGGATAATATTCTTCTTCTTTTACTTCATGTGCTAAAGGTTAAAATAATTGCCTTGATTTTTCTGGATTCAGATATTTTAAAGTTGAGGATCTGTGAAGTTGATAAAGTTGAATGCAAAGGACTGATATTACACTAGTACTTTGCATTCAATTTCACCAACTTTAACTTCAAAGGATATGTTTGCTCAAAAAAAAAAAAAAAAAAAAACTTCAAAGGATATGTTTTCAATTTTTCTTTTGTTAAGGATTATATATGTATTTTTTTTGTACCTTCATTTAGTTAATTCTGTCTTCAGAGATTTTTTAGTCTGCACCAGATAAGAATGAATTTGGCATAGACCTGTTATTTAGAATTTATTGACAGAAAGCGAATGTATTTTACATAAATCTTGAGCACAGTGATTTAATTGGTTTTCAGCTTGCCTTTACAAATTGGAGTGGCGCTATATCTTTTGTATACTCAAGTCAAATTTGCATTTGTATCTGGATTAGCAATTACCATTTTGTTGATACCAGGTATAATGGTACTCTTATGGAATTTTGTGTGGTTGAGAACTGAACTTGTTCCATCATGCATTTTTGCTTTGCCTTCTGTTTTCAATGTAATTTGTTTGTGCTTGGCTATCAAATATCAACATCAGTAATTTGGATGAATTTGCAGATATTTGGATGCTAGTATGCAATATCAACAACCAAATTTATTTCCTAACAAGGGGTTTATAACCAAATTTATTTCCTAACAAGGAGTTTATTTTAGATTTTATTTTTGTCTGGAAATGTCTTAATTACCAGAGGCTTTCATTATTATGTAATGCTTGATCAACTTTTAATATTATTTATTTCGCTTAATCTTGCTGGCTGTTTCTGCTGCTTTTAATGTATACAGTTCATAAGATGATTAATACATTGATAGTGATACCTATACTCTGAAGAGCTTGCAGCAGAATCTTCTTGATTGCAGTCAACTTGACGTAGTTGAAGAAATGCACATCTGGAAAATGCTTGTTTTATTAAAATCACCTATGCATTCATGCTTCTGCCATTTGATTGTAAACATTTTTTTCACCTAGAGTTATGTTTTCTTTACATTTATGCTAACACCTATGGGGGATGGACCTGATATTTTCCTAATATAATAATGGAATAAATTTCTCATCTCATTACAATGGTTTCACAATGGTCTTCTGTGTATTTCATATGGATGAACCACATAGGAAATGAGGTCATAACATAATTTCCATCCAAACTAGAGTAATACTTGAATTCAGATCCCAAATTGAAAGGTTGTTCAAGAATCATTATCAATATAAGATATAAGATCATAGCCAACCACACTATTTATGAGTCATAAACAGTGTGACTTACTTTATATTCTTTGCATTGTATAACAGTGAAGCCTGATTTCAAGACAGATAACGTTTTTTGATATAATGTATATGGCTCAGGAGTTTGAATTTTTTTTGGGGGATTTTATTTTAAGAAAAATACACTTGTGGTTGTTTCAATTCTACATTTTTTAATTGATGCAGTCAATAAATGGATTTCAAAATTGATTGCAAGTGCAACTGAGAAAATGATGAAGCAGAAGGATGAAAGGTATTAATACCTTTAGCACCCTACATCTGGCTTTGATGTGAATGATAAAATATTAGCAGAGGACATGTGAAATTTGCATTTTATTTGGTGATAACTTAAGATATGTCTCACTTAATTGTTCCTATTTCCATCTCATCATAATTGGTTAGCTTCCTATCTTGTAGTTTCTTTGCAATGGTTCCTTTTTCAACTGATTTATTACATCTAGGTTTGCTGTGGATGATTGTATATTTGAAGAGGAAACCTTACCGATAACATTGCTTGGTTATTTTTATAGTTTGGCTACTTTGTTAAATAATGGCAAAATCAAACAAGCAATTCATTTTACTATTATATCATAGAATTGAAATTTCTTTGAATGTTTGTTGGTTGTTTGCACACATGCTACTTTCAAATGCAAATTCTTCTGAAAAATTGTCAAGTTTGTTATTATTTTTGTTGGAATTTACTCTGTCTCAGCGGATTTTTGGAGTTCTGTGAGCATGCTTTGGAGAGTGAATAATTTGTATTGCTATCTGTTATCCAAACATTTTTTTTCATGCTTGGATATCAGGTTTAATGATTTAACATTTTCTTTCCAATTATGGCATTTTGTCTTACTTTGTAATGTTGCAGTATGGTGGATAAAGCTCGAGGACACTGTTTCTATTTACTTAAATTTACGTTTTGTATAGGATACGGAGGACAGGGGAACTTTTGACTTATATTCGCACTTTGAAGATGAATGCATGGGAACTTCTTTTTTCTGGTTGGCTGATGGAGACAAGATCTTCTGAAGTGAAACACTTGGCTGTAAGAATCGTGCTTTGCTTTTTATCTATTTTGAGTTGGAAAGTGTAATACTCCTCTGGTTCTTAATGTAAAAGCCAATTAACTAATTTAAGTAGATTGAGGATATTAGTTAAATTAGTTAATATGATATGTTTTTTCTAAAATACCCTAATCATTTTCTTTAATTCCCTTCTTCCCTCTCCTACTTGATTATTGTTGAGAGAATATCAATAGGGTTAGTTAGGAAAAAAATTGATAAACATATGAGATAGGGCTTACATATGGGACCAACATCAACTCTTAAATTAGATCCCAAATTGAGGACTGGAGGAGTAATTTTTTTTTTCCTTAAAGGCGGTGCATCCAAAGCACTGAACACCAGAAATTTATATAGAATTTAGAAGATGCTTCATGGAGCTAAAAAGAAAAGGAAAGAAAAAGAGGAGACCATTCTATATGCTGACATTTTGAGTTTCAAGTATACCACATTAAAGAACTACCTTCCTTTTCAACATATGTTAAATTTAATATAATCAATTTGTTTCTGTTGTTGTTTCATAGACCCGGAAGTACCTGGATGCATGGTGTGTATTCTTTTGGGCCACAACGCCAACTCTCTTTTCTCTTTTCACATTTGGACTCTATGCATTGCTGGGGCACCAACTTGATGCTGCAATGGTATTATATTTTAACATATCTGATCCACTCTTATTGACAATTTTTTTTTCCAATAAATTATTTTCTTTATCTGTTGTAATCGTTGTTAAGATATTTTATTTTGTTAAAAAAAATTTCATTGCAGGTGTTCACTTGTCTGGCATTGTTTAACACATTAATTTCACCACTGAATTCATTCCCTTGGGTGATTAATGGATTGATTGATGTGAGTCCACAATATCCTATGAGCTTTGCAAATAATGCTTGACTGAACTTGTTCATAATTAGGTTGGATGAACTTGTGAATTTTAGGCAATTGTATCCTCCAGACGGTTGAGCAGGTTTCTTTCTTGTCCTCAAAATAAATCTAAGGTGAAAGAGACCAATTCATGTTCCTTGCCATACCATAGTGAACAGCCTGACTCTTCGCAAGGTTTGGCAGTCTTCGTCCAAGATGCTTGTTGTACTTGGTCAAGCAGTGATGAAGAGACATTAAATTTGGTGTTGAACCATGTCAATCTAAGCCTGTCAAGGGGTTCCTTTGTTGCAGTGGTAGGAGAGGTAAGAAACCTTGACGCTAAGGATTTATTTAGCTAATAACTTGAACATAGCATATTATTTTTTGTAGAAGGAAATTTCAATGGGCATGCACCTTTTTAAATCTCTACACTGTAGTTCAGTTTATCCAAAGGGTTATCAGAAGATTTACAGGTTTTATAATGAATACAGATATATGGGGTTCATGGTTCTTATTTCAGAATGTATTGAATTTGACATTGCTTCTCTCACTTATTGAGATTGTGTTTAATAATAGCAAGATCTATGTTTATTATGTGTGTGTATACACTTTATTAACTGCAAGTATTCAGGTTGGTTCAGGTAAATCATCATTGCTATATTCGATTCTTGGAGAAACACGGGCAGTTCATGGATCAATTCACTCCGATGGATCAGTAGCATATGTACCCCAGGTTTGTGCATGAGGGTGTCCTTGATTCCTATAATGAAGGTCCTTATTTATTTATTCATTCATTTATTTTTGGCTGATGCTGCAGGTCCCATGGATTTTATCTGGAACAATACGTGACAACATAATATTTGGGAAAAATTATGATCCCAAAAGGTATAATACCTTGAAATAATATCCCCCCCCAAAAAAAAAAAAAATTGTTTGAAGCTTTCACATATTTTTTCTGCTTGATGCTGAATTATATGACTGCAAACACTTATGTCAAAAGAATCTTGCTGCCATATGTAGGTATGCAGAAACTGTTCAAGCATGTGCTCTAGCTGTTGATATCTCATTGATGGTTGGAGGTGACATGACTTACATTGGGGAAAAGGGAGTCAACTTATCTGGTGGACAGAGAACACGTCTTGCTTTAGCCAGGTGATAACTTATTGTGCTTCATATGTCTTGGATACTTTATGTGGAACTTTAATGCCTGGATTTTTAGCAAGAATATTATAATAATTTGTAATTAACAGGGCATTGTATCATGGCTCTGATGTGATTATGCTTGATGATGTCCTGAGTACAGTTGATGCACAAGTTGCTCAATGGATCTTACACAATGCCATTCTAGGTCCACTTGTGCAGGGAAAAACTCGATTGCTCTGTACCCATAATATACAGGTTTTTAATATCTTGAATTGCAGTGGATTTATCAAATCATTCAGTGGAAACATAAATTAACATGAAGCAAATTTTAGCATTAATATTTTTTTCTATTAATTTACCAGAATTTCCTCCATAAGATGTGCATTATTCAATTTGTATATGCATACAATAATTTGTTATCTAAGGATTAGCATGGTGATTTATCTAAGATTTATATGCAGGCCATATCCTCTGCTGAGATGGTTGTTATAATGGACAAAGGACGCATAAAGTGGGTGGGAAGTCCTAATGACCACCAAGTCTACTCATATATAACATTCTCCCCGTTGAATGAACTTGATACGGCTGTACAGAATCAAGGAAAATCTTGCTGCACAAATTCTTCCACATTAAAAGATCTCCCAGATAGTGAAATTAAACATGTTGCGGAGGGAGCAGAGGAGATCATTGAAGCTGAGTCAAGGAAAGAGGGAAAAGTGGAACCTGGAGTGTATAAGTGAGTTTAGACATATTCCATATTGGAATCAGTCGGTTTTTACAGGGCCTATGTTGTCAGCTTTGTAGACCTGCTTCTGCAGATGACGATCTAAATTGCCAGTTAATAAATCAGTTCTCTTCTGCAGAAACTACGCTATGTACACTGGCTGGTTCATTACAGTTGTAATATGCCTGTCAGCTGTTCTAATGCAAGCTTCTCGTAATGGAAATGATTTATGGCTGTCATTTTGGGTTGATACGACACACAGCAGTCAAACAAGATACTCTCTGCCCTTTTATCTGGTATGAGCTTCTCCTTATTTACAGAAGAAGTTCTGCAGGAGTAGCTTAAACAGTACATTTCTCTTGCTGGACATACTGATTGGAGGATGCTTATGATTCCCCCCCCCCCGGGTCATTGAATGTCCAATTCCAGACGTTCAACAAAATAACTCTAACTTGCGGCTAATTTTAATTAGTTATTTTGACACAAGAATGTTTGCAGTTATTTTAATTTTATTTCCCAAATTTTATGTTGAAAGATTATATGAAATTTTTATATAAAACTAGTAGCAATTCAAAATTTACGATCTTACATATCTAAGGTTTATGGGTCGTTCCCTGTTTAGAACATGCAACTTGTACATTTTAAACCTAGTGAATTAAAATATTGTTGAATCTTGCAAAATGGTATAATTAGTATGAGATGTAACTATCCATTTTGGTTACTTGTTACTTGACTGTGCAGGCTATACTGGGTCTCTTTTGCATCATAAATTCTTTTTTCACATTGGTGAGGGCGTTCTCTTTTGCATTTGGTGGCTTACAAGCAGCAATTAAAGTGCACAACAAAATGCTTGGTAATCTTATCAATGCACCTGTGCAATTCTTTGATCAGACCCCAGGTGGAAGAATACTCAACAGGTTAAGAAAAGATGTCTTCAGGCCATAGTAGATCATATTACTTTGCAAGTTACGTTTCATGATTTATGTTGTTTCATGCAGGTTTTCCTCGGATCTTTATACAATTGATGACTCCCTTCCATTCATTATGAACATTCTCCTGGCTAATTTTGTTGGCCTCTTGGGCATTGCAGTAGTTTTGTCATATGTTCAGGTACCCATAATTGTTCCCATCCTGCCTATAAGATTTAAAGCTTCCAAATTTACTAAATCTGTCTCCCAGAAGAAAAATTGATTTAACGGTTTTCTGTAGGTCTTTTTCTTAATCCTGCTATTGCCGTTTTGGTTTATCTACAGTAGACTCCAGGTATCACTTAACTGCTGATTAAATAATCCAGTGGAGTAATTCTCTGTTTTATCTTTCCGCCATCCTCTTCTTCCCTGATCTTTCCTCTACATCCTTATCTTCAATTGTTTTTCTTAAATTCCTTATTGCACTTGCATTAATCATATGTTGCCTGCATTCTTGATCCAGATTGTATAGTGCAATCGGAACAAAACACACACACACACACACACTGTTGCCTAGGAATTACTTGAAGGTAGTGAACAGCATGGTAAGACATGTCCTAAGGTTATTATCTAAGAAGTAACTAGTGTGAGACAAATGGGTACTAATTTCTCAGAACATAAGTTTTGCTGAGATTTTAGCAAAAATTATTGATGGCCAAATCTCTTTGAAATGCTGTCACTGATTCAGGGGGCAAGTCATTGATGGCTAGAATTGCTTATGTTTTGTCTTTAGGTATGCGTATTTTGTGGTTATGTATAATGTCAAAGATTATCCAAACTGTAAATACTTTGTTTACCTATCTGTATATGCCAACATTGAATGTGTTTTATTTCAGTTCTTCTACAGGTCAACATCAAGGGAACTACGACGACTTGACAGTGTTTCTCGTTCTCCAATTTATACATCTTTCACGGAAACTCTTGATGGATCATCAACTATTAGAGCATTTAAACTTGAGGTAAATGCATGTATGAATTGAGAATAATAATACCAGTCATAGGTGGTGGTTCTAGAATGAATTAGAAGTCCCATCACTATCAAGTGTTTGCATCTAGTTTAATAACAATTATGGAGCAGTTCTAATTGGACTCTCATGTGATCAAATAGAATTTTATACCATGTAGAGGAAGCGCTTGGCTTTACTTGAGAAGCGCTTGGCTTAACTTGACAGCTTATTCTATCACCAAAATATCTAGTTATTGATAACTCTAACCATATCTTGAGATTAAATGACAAGAAAACAGTTAATTGGGAGTGTTAGCTGGACGGTTATCATGCTCATGATCCACCTGGTCGGGGGCAATTATTTATTTTTTCCACATTACCGACAAAAACCATTTTTACTGTTGGAAACTTGTTATAAATTATTTCTATGAATAAAAGCATTGTTGATTAACGGCATCTGTGTGTATGGTTTTTACACTTGAAAAATAATATCTAATCTACATCAAGGAGAAAGAAGATGCAGTATTCTCCTTGAGGAAGCCAATTGAAACTAACAGGAAGATGCAGATTTCTCCACTTCCTTTAACAATCTGTATGAGACTCAGAGGAAAAGATTACTGGGGACATTAATTATCATTTAGCAGGTCCAAGTTACTTTGAAAGCAGAGAGAAATTGGATTGAATGGTAGTTTTCAAAGAAAAACCCGAAACTATATGGAACACCATCCAAAGTACGTGGTAGTTTTTTATTTAAATGTGTGCTAAGATTCTCTATTACTTTAAGGTGAAATCTCAGCTGTGACGAATGTCTGTTTAAAATTTTCAATACTGTCATTTCATCTACATTTTGTGAGTGGATAACTATGTACGCTGTCAAAGGACGGGGGAATGGGATTTCTCTTCGGTTGTTTGTCTTGTCCTCTGCATGAAATGGTTGCTTGCCTGCTCCCTTAATTTTATGTTCTGCAGAACTAGTCTTATCATATGATTGTTCTCAGCATTGATACAAATTTGGTGCGTTCATGCTACTAATAAACTTTACACAATGGTGGCTTTGGACAGGACTTATTTTTTTCCAAGTTCACTGAACACGTAACATTGTATCAGAAGACTTCTTTCACAGAGATAGCAGCCAGTTTATGGCTTTCCTTACGTCTTCAAGTATGTCTCTGACGATTTTACTAACATTGGATGCCAAAAACCGATAACAATACACATTGGACATTTCATTTTAAAGATTTATTTATGCAATTCTTAACATATGGCCGGTATGACATTTTTCACTATTGGTAACTTTCAGTTATTAGCTGCATCTATCATCTCATTTATTGCACTGATGGCTGTGGTTGGAGGTCATGGCAGTCTGCCAATCAGCTTTGGCACCCCTGGGCTGGTTTGTCTGTTAGCTTCTTTAATTCTCTGATTTACATCAAATTATTAATATTTGTTTAAAATTTCAGAGCTTGTGAGAAGTAACCTAAAAACTAAATATGGCTTTTATTTTTTTCTCCTTCAGGTAGGTTTGGCACTCTCATATGCGGCTCCAATAGTGTCCTTGCTGGGAAGCTTTTTAACAAGTTTCACTGAAACAGAAAAGGAAATGGTTTCAGTTGAAAGAGTCCTTGAAGTATGAATTAGGCCATAATTTCACTTAAACATGGGTAGGAATTTATGTGCTGGCATCTAACAGACATTATACCTTTTTTCTAGTATATGGACATTCCTCAGGAGGAAATTGCTGGACGCCTATTCATGAATCCAGATTGGCCAAATCAAGGCGTAATTGAGTTCCAAAATGTAACTTTAAAATACAAGCCATCTTTGCCACCTGCACTCTGCAATCTTAGTTTCACAATTGCTGGAGGGTCCCAGGTCAGTGCATGATACTTGACGTGGTGCTCAAGATCTTTATGATACTATTATGCCCATTATGTTTAATGCTTTTCACATGGCACGCTATCAGATTGGAATTATTGGAAGAACAGGTGCTGGAAAGTCTAGTGTGTTGAATGCCCTTTTCCGCCTTACCCCAATATGTACAGGATCTATATTCATTGATGGCATAAACATTAGCAACATTCCTGTCAGAGAACTACGTTCTCGTTTGGCTGTTGTTCCTCAGAGTCCATTCCTATTCGAAGGATCATTAAGGTATTATAACTTTTTATGGTTAATACCGTTGATACTACATCTGATTTTGGTTTCATTTGAATTATGATTGTCAAAACTTTATTTTATCTGAAAAGCATGTTTAATATTTCATATTAATATTAGTTGGCCGTTGAAAATGTTTAAATTAATCTTAGTTGTATTTTGTGTCAAACTTACCTGTGAGTTTGAAAATCATTTGAAATATATCTGAGATTGACACCCTTGGTTTCTTGGTTAAATAAATCTAAGATTTTAGGACCAAAATGAGGTTTTGACCAATTAAAATATTGATACTTCATGCTTGAGTCTGATTGAAGCATTGGTGATTACCTTTTGCAGCTAAATATCATGAATAACTAACCACGATTTGCCATTCCTTTTTTCAAGGGATAATCTGGACCCCTTCCAAGTGCACGATGACTTGATAATTTGGAATGCTCTGGAGAAGTGCCATGTGAAAGAGGAAGTAGAAGCAGCTGGAGGGCTACATATTCTCGTAAAGGAATCTGGGATGTCATTTTCAGTTGGCCAAAGGCAGCTTCTTTGCCTTGCACGTGCTCTTCTCAAATCTTCAAAGGTAAGGATCATGCTCACAACAAAAGTAGTCATCATAATGTACAGGAAGTAATGAATAATGTAAAGAAACAAATCACATTTTCTTGATATTACATCAATCAAATTGCCAGTGGCGAAGCTAGGGCATTAATGGATTTGAAAGAATAACAACAAAATTTGATGCTTTATCTATGGAAGTTCATAAAACTTTAGGGGAGGCATCCATCCACCCTTACCTTGATATGGTTCTGCCTCTTGACATTACCTTCTTGTCTCAAAATATTGTTATTAGCTAGATAGGAATCTGATCATTGTGGAATCAAATTCAAGATGTTCTCTCTCTCTCTCTCCCCCCCCCCCCCGACCACACACACACACGTGTATATGGGCTTTTTAATTTCACTCGCATGTCTTCCAAGGTTTTTTGAATGAGATGTTTTCAATTTATTTGTACTACCCCCGATCTTTAATCAAAAAACTAGTTTACTAATTTGAGTAGATTAAGAAAATTAATTAAGTTAGTTATTTGTAATAAATAGTTACTTTTCCTAAAATACCCTTGCTAATCATATGTATTAACTACAACTACATTTGATGAAATATTTAACTTGTGCTACTACAAGGACTACTTTGAAAAGAAATAGATAAATATGAGAGACAATAAGACCAAATTAAATATCTAACTAGCTTTTATATTTAAAACCGGGAGTAGTTTTTTTTTTATTTTTTTATTTGCAAATGCTAACCGAAAAGTTGCAAGATTATTGTCTGTACGGCGAAGGTGACTTGGCAAAATAAGTAGTAGCACTTGGATGAGACTATAAACTGGAAAAGAGTTTGACTTTATGTCCCTCTTTTGTGCATGCATCCCTTAAGACCATACATATGATTGACAGTAAAATTTTTCAGGTTCTATGTTTGGATGAATGTACAGCCAATGTGGACACACAAACTGCTTCGCTGCTGCAAAGTACTATAGCTGAAGAATGCAAGGGCATAACAGTGATTACAATAGCTCACCGGATATCGACAGTTTTGAATATGGACAACATTTTAATTCTTGACCATGGGAACCTGGTACGTTTAAGTGAACTCTCCTCTTGTCCAATCACATACTTATCTCATATTCCATAAATCATGATTAAAAAGCTGTTTATAAACCATTCTAAACAAGCCCTTAACCTCTCAGTATATTGAACTGTGTTGAATTCTCATAGGGTATGGTATGGGGATTTGATATTGCAGTTTTGTCCCTGTTACAGATTTAATAACATTATTCTTGTAGTTAGTATTAAGAATCAATCAATTCATCAATTATCAATTTATGTAAAAGCACAATCTTGTTAATTCACTGTAAAATATCTGTTCATTAACTGTTCTTTTGTCAAGTGCAATTTTTTGAAAACAGCCCATGGATTTTGCACAAGAATTTTTCTAGTTCATCAAAGGAAAAAAAATTAGTAGCAGGTGTTTGCTATCAAATTTTCTAACAAAAGCATAAAACGTGAAGGCGTTTTAGAGTTTGAGCATTACATTATTGGATGTTTCAGAGCACATGTTATGTTTTTATTGAAAGCCAAAAGAATTTTGCCTCATGTTCATCCAATTTAATCCTGAGACATCATTATAACAAGTGTGGAGGTGATCGAACTTAAGATTCTTTGCTAGTTTTCATGATATGCTTCTTGATCAGAAAACTCAACCTTTTTAATATTCCAAGAATTATCCCATGCAATGTCTTATTAATGTGTTCTCGTAGGCTGAACAAGGAAACCCCCAGGTTCTACTGAAACATGAATCCTTATTCTCCAGCTTTGCAAAAGCTTCATCAATGTGATGCTCTAAAAGTTGCCTGTTGATGAGATCTGACAAACTTGAAGCTTGATTTCACATAAATACGGAGTCAATGAGGCCATGTTTTAACACTAATCATCTCTAGAAATAAGTCTCTGCAGTGACATTTAATACTTTAGATCTTTACTGATTTGGTCAGTTTTTTGTAAAATATCTAACCTTAACTAGTTAGTATCTTGTCTGAATCAGCATCTAACATTGTATCTTCAAGCTTAGCTTCACGATTAAATAGGATTTCTGTGCAGCACTTATTAAACAAATTGTAGTGAATGATAGTAGTGCGTTTTCAAAAATTGCATAAGGATTAAACTTATAAATCAGATTATTTGGCTTTTGGTAATTATTCATGTGTTTGGAAAAAGAGTTATATAATAGAATGTGGTTATATATGAGGTTTATTTTGCTTATTTACACACACATTTGTGGCTAAAATATGCATTAGATACTTTAACTTTATACAATGTTTTTATTTAGTCCCATAACTTCAAAAAATATATTTGTAGTCATCTTAAAATCATTGGTTTTGAATGATAACTTTTTCTAATAATCATGGTTGTTTTGAAAATTAAACTTAATACGTTAACATTTAAAAATGTTTCACCGGCATTCAATTTTAATATTATTATTTTTTATTAACAGTTTTAAGGCTAAAGAATTAAAAATGTTTTTTTTTTAAGTTAAGGAATCAAACAAAAACTTTGTATAAAGTCAGAGGATCAAAAGTATACTTTAATATATTTTTATCTATCTTAATGCATTATGTATATAATTGTTTTTGAGATTGAGAAAAACATGACTTGCTATTTTCAATAGTTTATTTTTCACAGAAGGAATTGACATTTTTAGCTGAACAATTATGATTCTACTTTCTACCAAACTTGAAAAGCATCCGTTGAAAGTGGAAATACAATAAAAAGAAAATGATGTATTCTTTCTTTACTTCTTAGGTGAACAATATTCTAGTGCTTGAATTTAGGTTCACAAAAAACATCTTCATAAAGTGTTAAACAATCTATCAGTTTGGTAGATTCTTATTAGGCGACCAAATTGCTAGAGACAATGAATTAACAGAAAAGAAAAGTTGACTTGTAAATAATTTTTTTTGATTGAAAATAAGTTGTGACCAAAAATAAATAATGACTATATATACTTACAATGTAAGATTTTAAGAAAGGCTTAACTAAACGGTGGATAAGAAATATTTTTCCCAATAAGAAGGGTTTGAACCTTCATCCTATTCGCAAATAACATGTTAGTTTGAGAGTTTGTTTTAATTTGCAGTATAAAAAATCAATATCTTTTATCTTTTATATTTTTTTTTCCAAACTACCCCTATAATATGATTGTTGTATGATGTATAAGCGATATTGATGATATTTGAATATAAATTATTAAACTAAAAAATATTTTTCAAATTATATAATTAGTTTTCAGGAATGGTGTCATACATCTTCATTGAAAAGAAAAACTTAATTATATCAATGATTTTTTCAGTCAGTGATATGACATTTTGACTATTGGCTTCTTTTTTTTTCCTTGTTCACATGTTAAGGAGTTAAAGAAAATTAATTAAGCAGGGGTATCTTTTTCATAATATTATATTAAATTTACAATATGTAAATTCGAAATTTGTAATAAAATTTTGTAATTTCACTATTCTACGTTGATTCTCCTAATAAGGTACTGTTTGGCTGGGGGTTGTTGGAGGGGAGGTTTGGCTGGTATTTAATGGAGGGAAGAGGAGATCTACTTGCCTCCCAGCCCCTTCCAATTTGAGGTATTTTTGGAGAGAAGGGAAGGGAGAAAATATTTGTTGACTAAATTATTTTTTTGATTTTTAAAATTTCAAAATGCCCTTGATATTTAGAAAATGCCTTATCTTCCTCTACTATAATAAAACAAAATTTATAATTTTTTGATGTATAAAATTTTAGTACTCCTCCTATCCTAAATATAAAACCCCTTTTACAGTATAATTTATACTACAAAAAGGGTCTAATATTTAGGACCGGAGGAATATTTTCATTGTAGTATTGATATATCAGTCCTTTAAAAAAATTACAATGTAAATTGAAAATGTTCATATCCTTAAAAGAATAAATTAATGTTTACTTGAATTTAAGTGTAAATTAATTTATATGAAAAATATAAATTAATATATATAAGAGTATAATAACAAATTCGTCATAATCATTTCTCTCTTCTACTCTCAAACAAAACCGATAAAACTCCCTGTCCTCTCTTCGTCTTCTTCAAACCAAACACACCCTTAACAGGGTTTGGTATGAGGAATTTGAAGGATATGAGAGGCATTTTGCTTCCTTCCTTTTCTTGTTTAAGGCTCGTTCGTAGCTGCGTTCACGCATCTTATATTTCATAAATTACTTTTAAAAAACTGTTTATGAGATATTCTAAATTGTTTATGAATTTACACAAATGATTACCTTCAATTCTTAATATAAAAGCTAATTGATTAATTTGAGTAGATTAAAGAAATTTGTTAAGTTAATTATATATAATAAATATATATTGTCATTCTTAGAATAATCTTGTTAATTATGTGTATTAGTTAGAACTATTATTTGATGGAATCTTTAACATGCGCATCTACTACGAAGACTACTTTGAGACAAATGAATAAATATGAGAGACAAAGTGAATTGGGCTCTTATATTTAGAATCAAATTGAAAGTCAAACTAGTTTTTATATTAAGAATCCGAAGTGATATAAAGTAAGTATATGAGAAGAATTTTATCTCAAACAAGTGAAAGTACTTTTTTTTTTTTTGAAGTCACTAACACTCTAGATAAAATTCGTAGATAGGATCATAGGAAGGAGAAATACCTCGGCATGTCCTGACCAATTTTAATAGAAAAAATTGCACTGAGATCCCACACAAGAAAATATACATAAAAAAGATTCCTAAAAATCTGATAATTAGTCACAAATCTCAAAAGAACTTGATTCCAATACTAAGAAAGTTAAAAAGACATTATTATCCCAGCAGTGTAGAAGAAAAATGCACTGAGTTTTTCCGCATAGTTTGAAGCTGCTATACATGAGAGAAAAGACCTCGAGAAAGAAGAAAGCAGCCATTAGTGATGAAGCATCTTCCCTATTGCCTATTAATGAACTCCAAAGAGCTTCCATTTTAATCTCTACAAATTTTCGGGTTTGAAACTTTCTTTTCTCTCACCTTATAGCATTTTGCTTAACAAAGTGTATTTGGATATGGAAATTTAGAAAATCGTTTTTGCATTTAGGTATTGCAAAGCTTTTATTCTTGGTCTAATATAAACGAGTTAATCAATGGAAATGTTGTGTTGTTTTTTAGTGTAGGTTGGTGATTTAAGTTAGGGTTTCATTGTGGGTGGGCAAGATGATGATGGGTGCTTTGTTTTTGGGCCATATTGTAGGTGGTTTTGCTATGTTTTACCATCGTTTAGTGGGAAAGGCTGAAAAAAATCAAGGTTGGTGTAGGTAAAAATCCTTATTGTGACATAGGATATTATGTTGTCAATGTAGAGCGCGATAGTTGTCAATGTATGTCATGATAAGTGTCAATGTTGCTACTTCACTTGTCAATAATAGTTACGTGATTCTTAATGCAGGTCTATATTAATGATGGTTAGTATATCTGAAAAGCATCTATTTTGCTTTGTTTATATAAGGGGCAAGTTTATAAATGATCGAAAAGATGATATAAGATATGTTGGAGGTAGTATAAGAACACCAAGTATAAAGGAAGGGATACGTTAAGAAGAGTTGAAGGAAATTATATCATTAATTCTTGAAAAAGAAAGTAACTCATATGTTTTGAAATTCTCAATTATGATTGATAAAAATATATTTGTGGAATTGATAGATGATAATAGGATAGAGCATTTGATAAAATTCAATAAAGAAAGTAGTCATGTATATGTAGAAAAAAATGAAAATAAAGATCAAACAAAAACAGTAAGGGATGATGCAATGGAGGAACAAGATGTGTAAATTTAGTTTGAACAAGATTTTTCTATTGTCATTTCTTACTATGTTAGTTGTTACTATTTTGCTACTAAGTTGTCAATGCATACATCCTGACCTGTCATTTACCATAGGATGGATCAAATTTTCATAGGTGTGAATGTATTATCTACGTCTTCACCTATCTTGTTTGATGAGATTGGAGATTGCACCTTCCAAAAATTAATCAATCCTACAGGAAATGACCAATTAAGATGCATGCATTGATAACCTAGTAGCAAGCCAGTAACAATTGACGTAGCAAGAAATAACAATAGAAAACATTTGTTTAAACCAAACTTACACATCTTGCTCTTTCATTACATCATCTCTTGTTGCTTCTGTATAATCCTTGTTTCCATTCTCTTCTATATACACATGATCATTTTCTTTATTAAACTTTATTAAATGCTTTATCCCGTCATCATTTACAACTCTAAAATGTATTTTTATCAAACATAATGAATTTCAAAATAAATGAGTTACTTTCTTTTTCAGGAGTTAATGATATAAATTTTTTTTCAACTCTTCATAACTTATCCTTTCCTTTATACTTGTTGTTCTTACATTACCTCCAACATATCTAATATCATATTCTCTATCATTTATAAACTTACCCTTTATATGAAAAAAAGCAAAATAAATGCTTTTCAGATTTGCTAACCATTGTTAATGTAAACCTGCATCAAGAATCACACAACTGTCATTGACAAATGAAGCAGCAATATTGACAACTGTCGTAACATATATTGACAACTCTCGCATCTTCCATTGATAACACAATATCCCATTTTGCAGTAAGGATTTTTACTCACACTAACTTTCATCTTTTTTATCATTTTTCACTAAATCATACTAAAACAGAGTAGAACCATCCACAATATATCCAGAAATAGAGCACCAATTATCATCTTACCTACTCACAATGAAACCCCAACTTAAATCAACAACCCACACCAAACAAAAAATATGATTTTTCTATTGATTAACTTCTTTATATTAGAATAAAAACAAAAGTTTTACAATACTTAAAGGCAAAAACATTTTATGAATTCTAATATCCAAACACAATTTGTCAAACAAAATGTTGTAGGAAATGAGAGGAAACAATGTTTTGAACTTGAAAATCTATAGAGATTGAAATAGAAGCTCTGAAGTTTATTATCAGTGATAGGAAATATGTTTCATCAATGACTACTTCCTTTTCTGTGCAGGTCTTCTCTGTCATGCATCAGAGCCTTAAGCCGTGGAGGTAAACACTTCTCCTTGTCTTTCTTTTCTTTCAGCACTTTTTCCTTCTACACTACTGGGGCAATAAGGTCTTTTTAAGTTTGTTATTATTACAGTGAAGCTCTTTTGAGCCTTGTGATTAATTATCAGATTTTTAAGAACTTTTTTGCTGTATTTTATTTTTTCGTGGGATCACTGTGCAATTTTTCCGTTTTGATATTTTACCATCGGGCCACCCCACTCACCGGGCTGAGGAGGGAGCTCGCCATCGTATTGCACGCCTCCTCTGTCTTCCGTCTCTGTCTCGTCTCTCCTCACGCCAGCAGCACCACTTCTGTCTTCCGTCTCGTCTGGCTTCGACTCACTTCCCTTTTAATCGCATTCGCATCGCAGATTCCCATCTATTTCCGTACGGGCGCTTCGTATCTCTTCAGTTGCTGCCGTCGTTTTCCTTGTAAAATATTTTGATCTTGTCATTTTTATTCGTTTCCATTGTAATCTTGTACTTTTTCTGCTCTTCTGTGTCTTCAGTCCAAACATGTGAATAATGCTTGCTGTCCTATTAGTGTTGACATGAGTTAGTCTCGCTAATGGTTTCTGCCCTATGATGTGTTGTTTGGTTCAATCTTGCTTTGTGTTTATTCTGATTATATGATATGGGTTTTTGCTTGCTGCTTAGGAAACATTATGCTCTTCAATTTTTGAATTAGAAAGTGCTGATAACCTTCCCTTTTGATTTGATCTTTATTTAAGGAAATCATCTGTGAGATTATCATGAAATGAAGCTGTGTGGGGCATTCCAGAAACTGTGTGTTTGACTTCATTTTTTACTGTTTGAGTTGATCAATTCCAGCACATCTTCTTCATTCTGCACTGTCACTTTTATACAACTGGAGAAATGAAACTATGCCGTAAGCATTTTCTGATTCTGTTGGTTTTATAATGGGAACTAAACTTCTTCAGTATGAGTTTTTACTTTCACGTGTGATCACTTATTGAATGTCTAGTGAAATGAACTTGTATCATTCTACGTATAATTCATTTATTGGATTAACAAGTGCAGAGAGTGTGTGCTTTTTTGCCGCCTGAATTTTTCTTATTGTTATTGGGTTCACTGCTCTTGGTCAAAACGCTTTGTTCACATTTGTGCCAGATAGCCTGTAAAAGTTGGAATGAAAATACATAATACGCTTTTTGTTTGTGTTTTCTACCAATGGTATGCACAAATGAATTTAATCTAGGTTTTGATAACAAATAAATGAGTCTAATTATTTATTATTTTTGTATATTTTATATATATATATATATATATATATATATATATAGCATGGTGTATGTTTATGGTCATTAATTTGAGATAATCTTTTTCTTGATTTGTTAGATGGATTCAGAAGAGGAATTTTTGATGCAATGGTTGCAAATGCGACAGAGCCTTGTCTACCTTGTTTGTCTTGTTGTCCAGTATACTTTGGTTCTTATGTGTAATAATGATAATGAGATGTTGGCTCTTTATGGAAATGATAGAGCTAGTGAGGATGATGGAGATATTCCTTCAAATATAAAGAAACGACGTCGATCAAATTCTCAAGAATTTGTTGACACTGTGAATGAGGATGATCAACTTACCTCTCAAAATGAGGTATCTTTGGAAAACTTCTCAATCGATATGGAGAATTCCTCAGTTGGTGGCCATTCTCTTGGAGCAAATAGTGAGAGATTCAAGAGGACCAAAAAGCATTCACAAATATCTCTACTTGCAGAGAAGATGGACGCTATTGCAACTGCTCTTAACGAAGGGAATAGACTATTTAAAGAGAGATATACCCCACAAATATCAGGGGAAGAAACTTTGAAACTGATTCGAGATTGTGGATGCAATGAAGAGAAGATTCCTAGCATTTATAGCTTTCTTATGAATGATGCAGCCAAACTCAGGACAGTTATTCAATGTCCACCTTTGCGGCGCAAGCAAGTGATTATGGATATGGTTTTCGGTTCTTAGATTAATATGTTTTTGGTTGGGAGGCAACCTAGATTTTGTAGGCACTTTGTAAGCACTTTTACATTGGCACAGGGTCTCTTTTGATGACACTTTGTTCTGCCATGTGATGGCTCTTGATGACATTTTATGCCATGCTTGATGATATGGTGTTCAGTACATTCTTAGATTAGTGTGATTATAATATAATCACCTTCTTGTTTAATGCTTGCTTGGTGATATATATCCAATACCACATGTTTGCCTTAGGCTTGTATAATTATAATATGATTAGCATGATATTATTATTGTTGTATTATTATTAGGGTTAAGGCGCATTTGATACCTTAAAATATTTTTTGAAGTATATCGGCACCTTAAAATATTTTATGGTATAATTTTGCTTCTAATATATTAAAAATGAATCAGTCTCATTCCCCAACTAACAACCTTGAACATAAACTTTTTCTTTTTCACAAAAAAACTTTCATCCTCTCTCTCTGCTTCCTGGTTCTGGCCTCGGAGCTTTTCTTCATAGTCACCATAGCCAAATCCCTAAGCTTCAAGTTGAAGACGGAAACAAATTTTAGTAAGGAAAACTGAGAATAGATTAGCTAAATTAATTACTTATTAAGAAATATATGTTAATTTTCTTACAATATCTTTGTAATCATTTATATTGAAAATTATCAAAAGACCTCTTTAATATGTACAATAATAAAGATAGTTAAAAAAAAAGAGTAAAATACTCTGACTACCCTTCAGTTTTATCTTAATTACATAGACATATCCTCTATTTTGAAAACCCATATAGACCTCCCTTAAAATTAAAATACAAGTTACACTAACCTCCCTTGTATAACTAATATTTCAGTTCCATCTATCCAAACTGTTAGTTAACTGTTAATTGTAACTTTTTAAGCTCTTTTTTTTTTACCAAAATATCCCTCTTTATCATAAGAATTAATTAAAAACTTATATTCCTAAAAAAAACTATGCAACCAAGAACTGCCTTTAATACATGAATTTTCAAACTTTTTAATACATTATAAAATTTATTAATTTTGAATTTATCGTAAAATTTTATAATTTTAATTTGTCATCATATTTTGAATTTCTTTATTTTTTTTAAATGGTTAAATATATATATCAAGCACATATTTTTACTCACTATATAGTATAAACCATGTAAGTTTGATAGATTGTGTAAGTCATCTGAATCTATAATTTAAAATTCTTAAACACATTTTTTCTACAAACATTTATAAACGCATTAAGTTTAGATTGAAAACATTAAGCAAATAACTATTTGCAAAAATAAGAAAATAAAAATAAGGAAAAATAAAATAAAATATAGTTTAATATAAATTTTGGGGATTGATTAGAATGGGGTAAAATAGTAAATAAAATTTATTTTTATATAAATTTTAATTAAAAATTATGTTTTTAGAAGTTTTTAAGAATATTCCTAACGGTGTTAACATATTGGACTAAATTGTATGTTTTCAAAATAGAAGAGAGATTCGTGTAATTAGTGTATAATTGAAGGGTAGTCAATGTATTTTACTCAAAGAAAAATTATAAACTCAGAAGATAAAATAAATTGAATTCATATATTTAAACCAAAACAACTACTCAACTAATTTTTTTTAACCAATCTTTTAACTAATTCTTACATTTAAGAGTGAATGGAATATTGTTATTAAATTTATTCTTTTATTTGTCATGCAAAACACAGAGTTTACCTGTCATGAAGATTTTGGAAATGGAACAACTTATATCTAGAATGAAACATGAGAAATAATGTGTGTGTATGTTATGAATCAGACAACTTACTAGAATTTATATTATATATATACTGATATATTTTTTTTTAATTTTTTTTTCTTATTAGAGACAATCTTGTTAGAAATATTATTAGGCATTAAATATAAATACATCTCCCAATAAAAATTCAAATCTTAGTTGGCCACTTGAAAAACTTGCTCCTTTTGTTAAGTTCAACCCTGTTGGTTGATTTTTAAATTTTATATATTTGATGTTGAATTATATTTGTTGTAAAACTACAAGAAATAAGGAGAATAAAGAGTAGCAAGAGATAGAGAAGACCATGGCATTTTCTCATTCACTTTATTGCCTCAAATGTGTGTACATCATCTCTTATTTATAGGACCCCAATATTGAAGACTAACTTAAAGAGTTACAAGTACATAAAGAAAGGAATTAAGCAACATAATTGTACAATTGGAGGTTATAGGAAATCAATACTTGAAACCCTTCAATTTGGGAGTTATAAGGTATAATGCTATTAACCATGAGAAGGAATTCCAAGGGGCTAAGGAGTTATGAACATCCACACAACATAATATTTACAACACTCCCCCTTAGATGTTCATAAACAAATATTGTGCCTCATTAAAACCTTACTAGGAAAAACCCAGTGGGACAAAAACCTAGTGAAGGAAAAAGAGTACACAATATATATTAAGGCTGCCTCATTAAAAACCTCAACCAGGAAAACCCTGTGGGACAAAACCGTGGTTAAGAAAAAGAGTACAGCATGATCTTTGCTCCCCCTGTCAACAGCATAACTCTTTATCATTTTATCATAATAGAGTATACTAATTTCTCAAGTCATCCAATGTTTTTTCAAGCATATCTTCTTTTTAGTCAAACTATGCATAGTACATCATCATCAGCTTATATTGAAATGTATTCCTCTAACATATCTTCTGGATATGTGGGATTATCAATACATTCTTCACTTGCACTGAGAAAACTGCAAAGAAATGTTATTCTAAAAAGACACCATAATATATTTTGTATCGGCATGATTAATTTAATTTGAACAAAATGATATCATATAATAGTTTCATAGAACTATATATCCAATCTTAATTTCATTATTTACATGCATACCTGAAGAAACTTATCTTTACCAATAAAATTATAACACGTAATATTGACAATATATGTAAATATTATTATAGAATAAATATATGGGACTTCTAGTCTATTTAGTTGAATATATTTTCCAGACAAAATTATCATAACAAAATCAATCATTTTGCAATCATTGATGCATTCAATAACTTGATCGACGGGTCAAGTAAGATATGAAATTATTTATTTTCTAATACATTTTTCTAAGATAGATATCTATAATCAGATTATCTTATTCAACATAATATTTTAAATATTAGATGATTTTCTTCTATATAAATGCTTCAGGCATTTTAAATCCTTCAAGAATTCTTATGTAAACTTCATTATTTAGTGATCCACATGCATAGGCTATAACGATATCTAACAGACACATATTTCATTTTTGATATATTGCCAGATTAGTAATATGTGCAAAAATTATTTCATCCACCACAAAATACTATGCCTAATCATAATCACTAGACCTTTGTGAAATTCTTTATTTTCACAAAAATATTCATATATCACATAATAACTTTGTATTTGATGTGTTTGGACTATAGGTCCATAATAATATCATTATATTTCCATTGCGTCTTTTCTCTTTTCCTTTTGCTTTTGGCCAAATTTCTATCTTCATATAAGATCCTCTTTAAAATCATGTGATATTATTATCAAAAACGTTGTCGACAACTTTGTCTTTTTGGTTCCATTTTTTCTCTTGTGACATAACTTATTGAGATCTCTTCATTACTTTTCAGGTGCCTGAACCTCTTCTGAGGCTTTTTTTTTTTCAACTAGTTATGTCTCAGCACTCTTCTAGAGCACACGCCTCCTTAATATAACTTTTAAATTTCATGCTCCTTTTTATTCGATATAATTATATTGGAACCGATTAATCTCTCATGCTTCAGGCATGTCTCACTTTTATTTATACTAATTAGAGCATTTTCAGTTGGAATATGAGATTTAGTAATACTCACTTAGGTCAGTAATAGCATCTAGCACATATTTTGTAATATCTCATGAATGCATTCTTTGATGAACTTCTGGTTCATGCTATCATATATCTGAGGATCTATACTTGATAATAATAATGCATTCTATATGTTACCTTTTCCAGCTACTCAATTTCTCCCCTTCATGTTGGGAAAATTTTGTCAAATGACAATCAATTAATCATGCAGTATGAGTCTCCTCAATTCATTTGCTTCTTTTAGAAACATCCCTTTTGTTTCTTTTAGATACAAACAAGAAGAAGGAGATTCTTACCCAACATTCATTCCAATTTTTTATATCCATCTATATGTATATTGTGGTGGATCAATAGACATAAGCATTGCACATTCAAACTTTTAAGATGGAAAGTATTTGGCTCCTGACCAAAAGCCAATTTCATTGGGAGAATTTTGTTGGCTTGATTTGTATAAATGTTGCAACATATCAAACTAAACAAGCCAACACTGAGATGAAGATCTTGTTCTCAAAAGTATTGATCTAGCCATTCATGGAGGCTAATAATTCTGCCAGATCGTTCTGTTAATTAGACTTTTCAATTATTTTTCTAACAAATGCATGTTGATCACTGAAATTCTGGGACATAAATTCACAATCTTTTTCAATAGAAATTTTTTGGATCTCATAGTCTGGAACTTGTGCACTTAACATAATGATTACTCAAATAATTTTGCAAACTTCAGGTTGCAAATTAATAATAATACATGTAACCATCTTATAGATGCATCTATCAAATTTATTGAATACTTGTATGGTTTACATGCTATTGACATGGGCCCATATATCTAATTTTGATATATTTTTAGGAATGTAGAGATATATTCCACATCATAACTACTGATATCAATATAATCAATTTTTCTTTGAAAACAAGAACTATATGAACTCTTGAATCATATAATATGTTGTCTATTCATGAAGAATCTTCTGGTTTTTCAATGGATGTCAATAATAATCATCAATGATTTATTACATCATATATATGATTCGTGATGATCAAACAAGACATACCAACTATAAATCTAATTAGATAAGTAAACTTCTAGTTTACTGTAATAAGTTTCTTATATAAGTAAAACTTTATCTAACATCAACTCACACTTGTATTAATTCAATTGGGCTATTGCATTTTAGATCCTTTGTAGAATCAAAGTTCTGATGTTGATCAATGAGTTATATTTTTCACTATCAATTCTTTGTTCGCCCAAAAAAATTTTTTGCATTAGTTCTTCAAGAACTATATTAATATTTTTACACATAGTTCTTCAGGAATTATGTGATTTAAGAAGAATGAGGAGACAAATTCATCTTAATAACATCATAGTAC